CGCGCACACACACACACACACACACACACACATAAGGGAATATCAGATCCAATGTGCAATGACACAGCGAGGACAGAGTGGAAAGGAGAGAGAGGGAGAGAAGAAAGGTGTGAGTCTTTTTAATGGTGAGGGGAGAGGATGCACTGCGAAAAGGTATAGACTTGGACAACGGACAAGTCGGCGGAGAGGATGCAGCCGTAGCACGGGCCAGAAGGAGTGAAGGAAGGAGGATAGGAGGCAAAGAAGGCATATCCTCTGCACCACTGTGTGACTGGAAATTTAATAGAGGGACAGGGAGAGATAGAGCCACGGAGGAGGGGGGAGGAGGAGAGAGGGAGAGAAGGAGAGGCAAAAAGGCACAGAGACCTCATTGCTGTGCAGCTTTAAAAAAAAAAAAAACTAGTGGTGGTGAACAATGCTCACTACAGCATCCACGCTCGGGGAGAGAGGGAGGGAGGGGTTAGGTGGTGTGTATATCCAGCAGGAAGACCAACTTTGCCTTTGTTTGTCCTTTGACCTTTCCTGCGCACTGTAAGAGGTGGAGGACAGGTTGCTAAAGGGTTAACAGTGGCTGGTGATTGTGCATTGTGCTATAGGTGTGTTAATGCATGTGGGCGCACACATGACAGAGATCGATACGAGGAGGATAACTGGCATCTGTTTACCCGCTCGAGCCTCTTTATGGGCTAATAACGTCCTCACCTCCTTCATCAGCTGATTAAAACAGGCACCAAGTACATAGGGTGACGAGGAGAGGAGCTAGTGGACAAGCGCTAGTGTTCAAGGAGATTACAAGTGTAGTGTACAAACTGAGGGGGGAAATAATATTGTCATCAGATTCATGCAGTTTTTATTATGGACCTATATTGTGCCCATGTTGTTGAAACAGGATCTATTTCCCAGTGATTCTCTCTGACATCTGTATTTGAACATAAAACTGACATGTATTATGCAGGGTTAAATTACTGCTGGATATATGGGAATGTTCTGCCATATTCTTTATTCAACAATTGCAAAAGCCCTATAAACAAAGTTATGTGGACACAAACAATTATAAACTAGCCTATGTGTTTAGGTATTTCGGCTAAATAAATGTACACAAAATAATTGTTTGGTGTTGTATTTATTAATGTTAAAGTTTGTTAACCTGAAAATATATTTCCCTGACACTGAACTGTGCCAAAATTATCTAGATGCTTGATGACAACTGTTCTAGTTCTGTTCTGCGTGTCATGTTTTTGTTTAGGCCTCTATGTTAATTTATATTAAAGTTTATCATCATCAGAAAACGATTTCAATAGCATTCAAACCAAAAAGCAATTTTCTCCTAATGTAACTCTAATAACCTGAGTCCAGAGTGCAATGTAGGCCCAATTTCAGATCACTACAGCAACAGTGAAACTGTCAGAACACAAAATTTTGTTTGTTAATCTTACATGATTTCATATGTGCTGTGCTGAGTCATAAAGATGCCAAAGACACGGCTGTCATTGTATAACCGTCCCGATAGCATCATGCTGTATTTGGCGTTTGTAATCGCTTTAATCATCCGCAGGTACATCACACTCCTTCATGTATCCCTCTTTTCCTCTAGTGCCATTCACGGAAGCACATACGTAAAGTGCGTAACGCGCCGCTTCTGCTGTACGCACAGTGCTCTGCCCAGCGGGCGCCGTCGCGTTCGCTGCCTCTTCACCAAAAGGAATGATAAGACGCATGGATGCACTCACCCCGGACAGACCTCGTCGTTAATTGACACTCTACTGCTTATCCACTATTTTTCACCCATATTTTTTGCGTCTGGATGAATTGCGTTTTCTAAAGCAGCCGTCTGTGGATCCGTGGAGCCCCCCGCGTTGCGTTGGCGCTGCGGAGAACAAGAGTCAGCTCACAGAGCCGTGGAGACGAGCGGAGCGAGTTGAGGGGTAAAACGACTGAAAAGGAGACACACGGAAAGGTCGAAGGATACGGATAAACGGGCGCTGTACGGCATCCTCTCTCTAAGGTACGTTTCATGGGAACTGACCAGGGCAATTATCGCATCTGTTACCAATCTGCATCAGGGATGGCACAGATTTTATATATAAGTATCGTAAGAATACAGGGGTCAGTGTGGTGAAAAATACGTGTTGTCATGCGTTGTCTGTGTGGGTGCAGTCGTGTTGAAGAGTAAGAGACGAGACACGGAGAATGGATGCAAGCCATTTTGTGATGCAGCATGTGCAGAATTAGGCCTATTCAGAATTTCAATTGAGAAGGTGCGCCGTAGTGAGCGCAGCTGCATAGATGAATAAGGCCATTCTGTTGAATTAGGAGATATGAGGCTAGGGGCGATGTAAGAGCACGTTAAAAGGGTCTGCACGGGATAGAGCGGCCAGCTTTTACTTGTGAAGCAAATGTCATGCGTTTTCCAAATGTTGGTGTATGTGCCGTGATGGCGATGAGGCTTGATTCCCACGTCCTGCATCAATCTGCCGTTGTCATAGTTACAGTGTGATGTGGGCCCTGCAGCTGCACCTGTGTGGCTCTGTACTCAAGCCTAATGCACTGCTCTAATGGGGCCTCGTGGACGTTATATTGAGTAGCCTATATGGCAAAGACGCACGTAATCTCCACGTGTGCGTGACTTTAAAACATGACATTTCTGCTTCTTCATAAACATTAATGGCCGTGTCGTTGATACAGTCAGACGATGATGTGCTCAGTTTGTAGCAATTGGTCAGCAGCTTGCAGCTAATTTGTCTTTTCACGACTGAGCGCACTCTCGGGCCTGATCGAATAATCGATACCTACATGGCTGCAATCTGCGTCTTGACATGAAAAAAGGTAAATGAAAAAGTGAAATTCCTTTGAACCAAAAAGACTGGTATTAAGTGTGTATATTGTATATTAAGCCATTCGAATAAAACGCTCAGTCAGATATATTGTTATACAGACAGTATGTAAGAACTTTTATGTAAATATAGTCTATATTAAGTAACCTATTTTCATAGAGAAGTTGATGATGCGTGGTCAAGGCAACAGGCTCTAGATCCATGTAAAGTCTAAAGGCCTTCTCCTCCAACTGTTACTATAGTTACCCAAGGCAGGCCCGTGTGAAACCAGCTTCTTCTGTAATGAAATCATAAGAGTGGGGAGTGAACAGACATAAACAACATGTATTTTTCATTTACATAAACAATAAGGCACATCATGACCCCTGGGTGGTTGCAAAATGGTGGCAGAGTGAATTAGGGGGATATGATTCATATTGACTGCTTTTACTAGGCTATGAGCAGTCCCATCTGGTTAGTAATGATGTTTTGTTACATTTAGTCATGATTCATTAGCAGATCATAGCGACAAACACGGTGACATTGTGCACTCAAATGAAGAGTTGTTTCTTCACTTTTATTGGATGGATGATTAAAGATGGACAGTGTATTATTACTTTTGGCAGTTGGAATCAGGCCTTGTATGTTTGTGTGAGAAAAAGCCTGTGGGATGTGCAGAGCATCTGAAAAAGTCTATTTTTAGCCAACATTCCGGTATGAGCATTCTTAATAGGTGCTTTAAAAAGTTATCTGAGTGATCTGTTTTTAATAAAGACAGATACTGACCTAATCCTCAGACCTTGTAGATATTAAGATTCATAGCACATTAGCTTTCCCCTGTGCAATATCTGTTGTCTTTCCATTTGAAACAATTTTATGCTTGGATAAATGCATCTGCCCTGTTAAATAAAAAGGGTATTATATCTATATTGCCTGATTTGAGAAAAACTAAATTAAATAAATAAATACATTTACATTGACTTGAGCTCAGAATGTGAGGATATATTTAACAGCAAGTGCTTGGCTAAACACAGTAATGTGGAATAGGGCAGTGGACAGTAAAAACACAAGATGGTGAGTGAGCAGGTTGCCACAGCAACCGTGTTTCTAGGAGCGCATGCATCGTCGCTGCATAGGAGAGGAGATGTTAAGAACTGGCATGAAACCTTTTCGAGAAAAAAAAACACTCTCCTCACCTCGTCATAAACATATGAATATGAAGGATGTGCTATCAACACGGTTATCCAACGTGACAAGTAACAAAGATGCTGGTATTTTCATACGGCAGACAATGTAGGCTTTGACTGCAAACGTCATAGCCTTGTGCACACCATTCTTGGGAAAATAAAATCTCTTTGATCTTATCACAAGACGAACAGCAATTTTAAACTTTGTGAATCTCATGATGCAACTATTTCTGCAGCTAGATGTGTCCCCTTAACCAAAGTGCAGCCCTATGCTATTTATCAGTAATATGCATTTAATGACTGTATAAATCATGTAAGCAGTTTTGCACCAGATCTTTGCTCCTGCTCAAAAGTCTGTATCATTTTCATGTTTGGTTCATCAACTTAAGTAGTGGGGGGTTAGTGTCTGTTACACATTGATTGCACACAGAATGTGTATTGCAGTAAATATTCAGCAGTCAATAATCATTCTTTCATATCTTAATAGCTACACTGCTGCATGTGTGCATCATTTGTTATCTTATTTGTAATGTTGTGCTGCTGTTATATGATGGAATTGATGAATTTCTGCTTTAAACTCGAGTCCAAATCCCACAGAGAGCTGCAATTGCATCCTAGCTGAATCTGGAGATAGCGACTGAGACATACATACAGACTAGGTTTATAATGATAATCCATGACTGCAGTATAGGCTGCAACTTCTAAGTTCTGTAGCCATTTCAGACCATGACCCACATGTTGAACTCAGGAAAAGGCAGATAAGTCACTATACAGTGTAAGTTTAGTCCTCTTATAATACAGTAGTAGTACTGTTGTCACCTTTTTGGTGCTGGGGCGCTTGGATATTTTGAAATGTAAATTTTGTCTTGGGAATACTAGCAAAAGTGTGTAAGGCCAACATCGTAAAGCTATTGCACTGTGCACTTGTTTGACCTGCTTTTTGTTTCTCTCTTTTCTCTTCTTCTACAGTGATCTGCAAGAGACCCTTCAAAGGCAACACTGCAAACACAGGACAACCTCTCCACACTTTGATTTCCATACCAGCAGTTGTGATGAGATAAAAAAAAAAGATGCTTTTAAAAAATAGCATTTTGAAATCAGCACTTGGCTTTTAAAGTCTAACAAGCATGAGCCAACTAAAATAAGTATTTTTTAATGGCAAACAGTGTTTAATACAACGCTATACCCGCTTACTCTACTTTTTAAAGCAGTGCTTAAAGGCATTAACAGAATCTGAAAGTGAAATATGAACATCAAGACAAGCATTTAATCTCCCTGTTTGGAGGTGACTTATCAACATCACAGCTAAGGGGCGGGTCATGACTCAGTTGCCATGCGTGTTGTCATGGTGACCAGCCCCTGCACCCCTTCCCCCCTCCTTTGGTTGGTCCACCTTCTGTTGTGGCTTCACAACCATGGACCTCAGTTGACAGAGGCAGCACCCGCCTGTCCCAGCCTATGTACCTGCTCCAATCAGGCGAGCCGTGTCATCTGTACCCGGAAGGGTTTAGACCAAGTTCCAGACAGTATTTCAGACAAAACAAGATACCTCAATTTACAAGAAAACACCATCCAGGTAAGAGAATACACATTTACTGCAATTGTCTTCCTGCAATTAAAATGCCACATCACACCTCTCTGTTCTTGTTTCCCACTAGGTGATCAAATCAGACACATTTAAACATCTGAGGCATTTGGAAATCCTGCAGCTCTCGAAGAACCACATTCGAGAAATTGAGGTGGGAGCTTTCAATGGCCTTCCCAACCTCAACACGCTGGAGCTTTTTGACAACCGTCTCACCGTGGTACCATCATTAGCCTTTGAGTACCTTAGCAAGCTACGAGAACTATGGCTCCGAAACAACCCTATCGAGACACTGCCGGCATTTGCCTTTCACCGTGTCCCCTCGTTACGGCGTCTTGACCTGGGAGAACTGCGGAAGTTGGGTTTCATTTCAGAGGCAGCCTTTGAGGGCCTGGTCAACTTGCGTTTTTTGAACCTGGGAATGTGTGGCTTAAAGGATATCCCAAATCTAACTCCACTAGTAAAACTAGAGGAGCTAGAGTTATCAGGAAACCAACTAGGAATTGTCCGACCTGGATCCTTTCAGGGCTTGGTGTCACTTCGCAAGCTGTGGTTAATGCACTCCAGGGTGTCAGTAATTGAGCGCAATGCTTTTGATGACCTCAAAAACTTGGAGGAGCTTAACCTGTCCCATAATTCCCTACATTCTTTGCCCCATGACCTCTTCACTCCTTTGCACCAGTTGGAAAGAGTACATCTGAACCACAACCCTTGGGTGTGCAATTGTGATGTTCTGTGGCTCAGTTGGTGGCTGAAGGAGACAGTTCCAAGTAACACTACTTGTTGCGCACGCTGCCATGCTCCTCCAGGTCTCAAAGGCAAGTACATTGGGGAACTAGACCAGAGCCACTTCACCTGCTATGCCCCAGTGATTGTGGAGCCACCTACTGACCTTAATGTCACAGAGGGTATGGCTGCAGAGCTAAAGTGTCGCACTGGGACTTCCATGACTTCTGTCAATTGGTTCACTCCAAACGGGACCCTGATGACACATGGTTCATACAGAGTAAGGATTTCTGTGCTACATGATGGTACTCTCAACTTCACAAATGTGACTGTGCAGGACACTGGACAGTACACATGCATGGTAACCAACTCTGCCGGAAACACCACCGCAAGTGCAGTTCTCAATGTTACTGCCACAGACCCAAACAACAGCTACAGCTATTTCACCACTGTAACTGTAGAAACTGTAGACAAAGTTGACACACATGAGCAAGCCAGACAGGATATTAATGAGACTATCATTGAATTCCCAGTTCCAACTATTAATGGAGGGGTGTTAGATGGTCGTTCTGGCATCACAATATCCCCCTCTTTCTCCTCTCTGTCCTCACTGGCTCCTGGAGCCATTAATGATGCCGTTACCGTGTCTATTATCGATGTGACAAATATTCCTGGTCTAGATGATGTCATGAAAACTACCAAGATCATCATTGGCTGTTTTGTGGCTATTACCTTTATGGCAGCTGTAATGTTGGTGGTTTTCTATAAACTCAGAAAGCAGCATCAGTTACATAAGCATCACGGCCCTGCCAGAGCAATTGAGATTGTCAATGTGGAGGATGAGCTTGGAGCAGGAGCAGGTAGTGGGATCTCTGGTGGATCTACTATGAATTCTGGCACCAGTGGAGAGGGAACCCTAAGGATACATCATCCCGAAATTGTTAACATTCCCAGTATTGGTCGAACGGATACCCTCAACCATTATTACAAGACCCATCATTTCAACAACAATGTGATGGGTCTTAGTATTGGAGAAGGAATAGGATCTGGAGGTACACTCAGTAGCAAGAACCCTCCATGTCTGGACATGCCAATCTCTTGCACCTCTGTCCCCATCTCCACCTCTAATCTCCTCACAACATCAGGAAATGGCACCAACACCAGTTCTATGTCGCCTCCTCTGCCCATGTCTCTACCCATGCCCACTATGGGCCTTCACGGATCAATCAAAGGTTTTATGGGCCAGAGCCAGAATCCTCAAATGGAGCCTCTTCTATTTAAGGGAAACTCAAAAGAGAATGTCCAGGAAACTCAGATTTAAAAACAGAGGAAGGGAAAGGGACAGGAAAGAGTCACAGACACAGAGAGGAGATTGATATGGTTTATGCACTAACCATAAGACACTAGTGCATTGACATTAACCTGGAACGAGGAAAGACTGGAGCGGCAATACAAACTCATAGACTATTTGTGACAGTGTACTGAGCCAAGGATTGGACTACAATGGGCCACTTGTGTTGTAGTAACGATCATGGCCATTGAAAGAAAGAAATTCTACTATGTAAATCTGTGCCAAAGCAAATGTTTTTTGCAATTTCTAAAAGCTCATAGAAAAAAAACTAGCCTTTTAGAGGAATCAGTCTCAACATTGTGGTTGGCCAGCAGAGATGAAAGACATGCACAGCACTTACCACTCTGATGGAGACAGTATTATAAAACTAAATTCAAGTGACGTTTTTCTTCACAAAACTCAAGCCACACTCAAGTGACTCAAAAGACTCCTTCAAGGTGACAATTATGTAGGCATATACAGACGGACAAAAAGGTACAGTGCAGTACAAACTACTGTGAAAAATCCACAAATTATATAAATATATTTTCATTTAAAAATGTATCATTGCAGACTCCAATGCAGAGATATTTTGGGGTGGATGTATGAGCTGGTCGACTTTGTTTCTTTGTTAATAATCAGGGTGGCAATGGAGGAAGTTGGTTATGATACGTGTTTTCAGTTTGGCTACTACTCAGAAACATAAGGGCTCAATTGCAACACTCATTGTGAATCTTGAATTGGCTTTGTGACATGAAGTCCATTTAGGTTATAGAACAGTAATTGCAGATCTCTGTTTGACAAACTTTTGTCTGTTGCTTCAGTAATAATCATTACAAACTTTTGTGTTCTGAAAGTGTATTATGTATTTTGTAAAAGCCAGCTATTTGGTATTGAATTGACAATTCTGATACTGATGCCAGCATCAAAACATGGTAAAACAGTGTTTGACAAACATGGAGATGTGCTCTGATGCACCGACCTGTCTGGGTCAAATAAAGTGTTGACAGTGTGTTATTTGAATTAGCGCAGTAGCCAGATATTTGCTTTTAGAGAGGAATTTGATACAACCTCCTTGCTCATGGTTACCATAAACATGCCATAAAATGCTGTCATAAGGATGACTAGACATCTATCTGCAGCAGCATTCAAGAAGGGATTAAACTCTCATCTGGATGATTGGACAGAAATGTACAGTATATTAATAATAATAATATCTGGTTGTATGACAATTGTAAGATCCACATTTTTACAGTGTAACTTTCATATGTTAAATGCCATTTAAGCTTCTTGCGTTTCGACTATGTACTACTTTATTTTTGTTAGTTTGATATAATGTGTACAGTTGTCTAGCCATGTATCATTACGTGTGAAATAAATCAATCATATATTGGGTTGTGGCGGGTCAATAATGGCAACCACACACAATGTGGGTAACATCTGTAAAGAGCAGGACATTATGCAGGCTTTGGTATTTGAATATATGGTTTGTGGTTGAGCTTTGCAGCCATTAGTCATTGTGTTAATGATAAATGCCATCTGCTTAACATGTCCAGACATTTGAGTCACTTTCCTTTTAAAGAAATCCTGATGCTATACGACTTGTGTGACCAGATGAGTATTTTGTGGAAAAGCTTATAGGCAATTGGCCACATTCCCATGTTAGTTTATCATGTAGGCTTATTGCTATTTATAGCAGACAGCAGGCTAATGTTTGTTGCAATTGAGCAGAAGCTTGAAACCAGTCATTTCATATGTAATTGTACCTGAAGGTAGTATTATTAGTGAGGTCATCTCGGATAGCAGCTGTGGATGGCTTTTGCTGTGTTAGCTCAGTCCTCCATCAGTCCTGGATCTATTTTGGACTTGTGCTTCTCCCTTAAATGACAAAAACAGTAATGACGATTATACCACATGAGAGAGAGCTAAGCAGATAGCACAGCTGCAGAGGTTAACAAAGAAAAATGAGAAAAGTCCCCTATACTAAATCTACAATACAATTTCATTTGTTAACCTGGGTCTCCAATGAGTTACGGATAACGCTTAAGAACCTGTTTCCCAATTTCTAGCCCTTCTTTCAAATCTTGATTCAAATCTTTGCTCCCATAGTAGACATATTTGGTAGGTAGGGTTCAACAGTAGCCCTATTGGGACACAAATAGAATATAAATGAATGCTAACGACACAACATATGGCTGCCCCCTTGATGTGCTACATTTGGTGCTTCGTAGTCAGATTTCAAAGAGAATACAAGATACAGTACCTCCTTGTGTGCCGTGTGAATGTGCACTACTTCTGCATATTAGCTGTAGACTTGTACCTGTGTAGTCGATGTAAGCGACAAAATGTTCTTTTCAAGCCTCAGGAAGGTGTCATCATTACTCACATAAGAGGTTGCACATATGCAGTACAAGAAAAAGCCATGATCACTGTAGCTAACGTGTTGCAATGCTAGCATACATTAGCATATGAGCAAATGTACTTTTACACAAACTGGGGGGAAAATGTGGCTGCTTGGCTAAAGACTGAGTTAACATTTAGCTAACATCATGAGATTAAGATGTACAAAAATGTGTTTTGGTCTTTTAAAGTATAGCCTGTTAGGCAAACTATTGAAATATCTTAAGATGGACACAGTGTTAAACATGAATGAGAATGAAAAGTCATTTGTTTTTGTATGTCATTTTCAAATTGGTTGTATTTGGGTATGTGATCTTATCCATTGTCATTTTTCATTAAATTTAGTTTTCAAACCTGTTTATTCAGGTTCAAATGTTGGAGAAAAGTATGTTACCGGTTCAAACTGATTTATGGCGTTGGGGGCTCTTGTAAGGAGTGTTTGTGCATTGTTCTTAAATATGCATTGTGTAACTTTTCTGGTGAGGAAAGCATCACCAGCTTGTTTCTTTGGATATGTCATTGCTCACCCTGGAATGTTCCACAGTACCCGCTCTACCTTACATTTATTAAATTACAGGTGGTTTTATAGTTTTAAAATGCCTAGAAAAACAGGCATTCTGACAGTGAGTGGGGTTGCCTTTCCTCAGATCTGACTGGTAACTTGGTCTGGGTTGGTCTCCATAAAAATAGAAAGGCTTAAAGCCATACTGTGAAACATTCCAGACAAAGTAATAACATCTCCATGGAGAAAGCATTTGATGGACCCCTCCACCAGAAAAGTTACACAGTGCACCTTTAAACTAAAATAATAATTAATAGAATGCCATATGAAAGCATTTTATGCCAGGTCACACATTTTGTTCACGAAATATTACATTTCAGAAATAACATCTAAATTTGAAGTTGCATGTTCTTAAAATGCACAACAGTATTCAAATTCCACATGTTAAACTAACATGTAAAATGATCATGTTATATAAATGTTTGACTGCAGTACTGCAGTTTACATCAGAACTGGTTTGCTATGCAATGACTTGCAGTGTGAACAAATTCTTTAGCTGAAGTGGCTAATGCATAATGAAAACAAGCTGATGGTTCTAAACTTCAACTAAATCGACCTTCCAGTGCAATATGCAGCTCACATGTAAGCACCGAATGTTATAATTTCATTGCAGCTAGCTCTATGCATGATATGAGAGGAGTAATTATGAAGTTCAGAAATGTGCAGACATTAACTCAACAAATCCACATACATGAAGTCTGTTAATGCATGAGAAATACCAAATAATGGGGCTGTTTGGAGCACATGGCTAGCAAACAAGATTTGGTCACACACTGGATTTGTTGACTTGGATTCATATATTTAAAATACTACTACAAATGAAATTGAATTAAATTAGATTAAATTAGGTAGCCTATTAGTGAAATTTACAGTAAAATGTACATTATTTCATTATTACATTCTTATGACTGCTACTACAAGTGCTACTAGTACTGCTACAGCACCAAAAATGATTTCACCCATTACATACAAATCTCAAACACCAAAATGTAATTTTAACTGTCTAAATTGCATGTAGAAATTGGTTTATCCCCTTGGCTAAAATGCCTAAATGTATAAAATTTTAAAAATTTTGTAATGTTTTTGATATTTTAATTTTTTTTCATTATTTCTAAATTCATTTCATTTATTGGATACACACACAAAACTCCACCTTAAATACATATGTATTGTTTTGCATACAGTGATAATACATATATGCTTAACAGTCTATTTTGTATTGAATTAGTTTCGTAATTAGGTCTCTTGAGATCTCAGTCCCATGAGACATCTTGGACAATATCTTAAAGGGCCACACACTAAAGCCATTACTCCAGATCTTAAAACTAATGTACTCCATTTTGAGCGTATAATTTTCAGCTCGATTATAAATATCAGTGTTTAGCAGCTTGGCTTAACAGTAAGCACAAACATATGTTGAATGCGTCAAGTAGATTTGTGATTTTTTTTTTTTTTCCATTCTGCAGCATTTGTCTAAATTTGGGAGCAGAATTGCTTAGTGCAGCAGGGGGTGAGGGAAAAGTGCGAAAGCGTGTGAATGCGGCAGAAAAAGAATAACATTAACATGCGCCGTGGAGATGAAAGCGGAAAATGCAAATACGTTTGGGTGACTCTTAAACAAAGGTGCATTTTTTAAGGTGATGGAGACAGATGCAGTGGCCTCAAGAGGATTGCCTGTAGACATTATGTTGAAAGAAAAATATGGGCTCTTTGGAAAATATCAGCCATGCATCTTGGATTTAAGCTGCAGTGGTTTGTGGAGATGCTGTGCCCGCTATGTGCTATCCTTCCCTTCAAATTCAATAAGCTCCCAGCTGCCTGTGCTCCTCCAGGGAATCCCCCTGCACTCCCGTGGACCCAGAGACAGACTGCAGGCCTGTGGGGAGCTCGCCTCATACACTCACTATGAGGGCGAGGTGTCAGGCTGAGGGCTGCACACATGACAAATGTGAAAAGATTTTTTTATATTTTCTCTCAGTTTAGGGTGAAAAACACACGCGTTTGACAGGGATGCTGCTGGGACCAGCTGCATAAGAGGCAGAGTTGGAAATGCCATAAGGAGGGCACTGTGACCCAGTTTGGATCAAGAAAAATATATTTACTTACTACACTAAACCACTATATTTAATTTTTATTAAATTTCTGGGCATCAAAAGATTGTCACAAACCACAGAAGAAGTTAGTTTGTACTTGAATATTTGCATTCTGTTAACATGGACGGCTCAAGTGCTTAATATGTTTTGAAATGGCTAATTGTACAGCAGAACTATTTAATTTAGCAACTTCTATGTGAGTGACACAGGCTGCTCGCATATTATTATTATTATTATTGATCATGCCCATTCCATTTCAAAAGCCCCCCCCTTCCCTCCCATAACATCCACCGATGGGTGGTACATTTCACATTGATTTTCTCTATTGACTTTACTCAAACCCGGTAGAGTTTAAAGGCTAACAGGCTAATTAGCTAGCCGATAACTAATATACCTCCTTTCATCCTTTACTTTTAATTCCACTAATTCCAAAATGGCTTTATCTAATCTTTGTCTTGATGATATTTTTAATGCTTGATTAAACTGCTGTTTCCAGTACTCCCGCAATTGTGAGTGAGGAATGAATTTACTTCTTTTTTTTTCAAAGTTTGAGATCCTTGTCAAACTTGTAGAGTGCAGTATACAGTAAATGTGAGCTGCAGCAGTGGATCATGGTTCCTTTAATGTTCATTTAAAAGCATGCGCAGGCCTGGAGCATAGGAGCCAGTGAGTTGAGGAAAATGCCAGAAAGAGAATCCAGTGACCCAGTTGGATGGATAAAAGCACAACAGTGTCTTTATGAATTACAAATGTCTCCTTTGTTTAAAGATTCTTATTACATGGCTGTGTTGGTGGGGCTTATACTGCCGATCTCAGCGGGCTTTCCCTTACTGTATACTTTTGTTTTAAACTATATTTAGCCTTCCCTGGGATCATTACAGCTACAGTGTCTCTATTCTGGAACTTCTAAAACACAGATTTCACCATGTAGATAGAGACTTGGGGAAGGCTTAAAGTAAACAGTACAGTATTCAACTGAAAAACCTCCCAATATTTTGTCCATTTTGACTTATACTGTAAATTCTCAAGAGAAGAAGTCCAGAGCAAATACGAAAATATCAACATTTAAAAATACTGGCACTTACTAGAATACATCAGAATAAAATAAGTGTAACAGTCTGAAGGA